GAAATAAATAAATAAATGTAAAATAAATTTTAAATATATTAATAATTTAATGCAAACAAAAAATTAAATTAAAATAAATAAATAATTTTAAAATAAATACATTTAAAGAAATAAAATAAATAAATAAATAAATAAATAAATAAATTGCTTTCGGGATGCAAAGAAATGTGTGATATTATTTCAAAAATGTGCTAAGAATTAATATATCAGTTGTCAGACAGTGAATCCAGCAGCACGCTGTAATATTCAGAAGATTGCACCGAGATCCAGGAGGAATGCTAATAATGCTCAAGCATTCATTTGTCTGGTCACCATTCAGCTGCTTGCAGGACTGGAATTTAATCACAATAACAAAATTACCCAAAAGCCTCTGGGGTCCTGTTTCCACCTGGCATTAACATGCATTCAGATGAGTCTCTTGTGGCCACTTGAGTTCAGATTCAGTAAAGACCTTTCGCTTTTATTTCCTCTCTTTACATGGAAGAATTATTGAGGGAACATACGGAATATAGGAACAAATGTAACCTGTTTTTTACTCTCATTTCATAAATGAAGTGCATTGATGCTTTGTGTGAATTCCAGCATTTAGTCGAATAAAGTTAGAATTAATTTGATAGTCAATATTTAAAAAAGCAGAAAAATCACTGAATTCACACCAGTATTTGAGTCGTTTACTTGTGATGGGATTGAAGAAAGTGCATTTTAACCCTGGAGAATTCCTAAGAACATTTATTTAATTTAGATTTTCTTTTTAAATAGTTTCCTTATTCTGAGCGGTTTACCAATCAATCAACAATATTTATAAAATACAAATAAATAAATAAACAATAAAATAATAATAAATAAACACATAAATAATTAAAATAAAATAAATATAATATTTTAACTAAAATAAAATGAATAGATAAATGAATAAATAAATATTACAATTAATAAATAAATTAAACTAAAATTTAAATAAAATAAAAAATAAAATAATAATAATAAAAAACATAAAATAAAATAAAATAAAATAAAATAAAATTAAATAATAATAAATAAAAATAAATTAATTAAATAAAAAGACCCTAGGGACATTTTTGAGCAAAAGCATAATATTTTTTTATTTAATTAAATTTATTTAAATAAAGATAATATTCATATAATCTGACTAAAAGGAAATAAACGAAGAAAGCTAAAAGTGAAAGCAATTTTCAAATAAGCGCACTCTTATGGTGATATAAATAATAATAATAAAAAATTTAAAACACAAAAATTCATTCATTCATAGATTTTTTTTAAAGACAGCGATATGACATTTGCTTTGTTTTTTTAATTTAATTTTAGTAATTAATGGCTGCAGTATAAGATATGCTTGAGAGTTAAAGGGACAGATCACCCCCCAAAAAATGAAAGGGATTGTTCACCCTCCCAGAAACATCAGTCAGCATTTATTTACTCGCCCTTCGCTTTTCACAAACCTGTTTGGGTTTCTTACTTATGTTGAACACAAATGAAGGTATTTTGAAGAATGCTGAAAACCTGTAACCATTGACTTCCACACTATTTGTTTTATGGATGTCAGTGGTTACCGATTACTAACATTCTTTAAAATATCTTCTTTTTTGTTTAACAAAACACAGAAACTCAAAGTTTACGATCACTGGAGGATAAATAAAATGTATTTTAGGGTCGAATTTTCACTTTCCAACTCACTGTAAGGCCAAGGTTTTTGTTTTGTGTGTCATTCAAACATCCTGAAGATTGTTTCACGCTGAGGGGATTTGAGAAAGGTGAAGGCAAACCTTTTTTCTCTGGATTTTAAAAACATTTAAGGATCATTCAAAGAGCTTTCCGTCATTTGTGTTTGACAGTTTAAACAAATAGGGCTGGATCTGGTCTATTATGCTGTCATCTTTAGCACAGGAAAACACACAAAGAAAAGACGACAAAAATCTAAACCTTGCCAGAATGTTTTTGTGTGATGTGCATGTCAAAATACGAGTGCCAAAAGTTACAATATTTATCGAAAGAAAACAAGATGCATATATACAGCGGGGGAAATAATTATTGAACTCTTTTCTCATATTTCTAGAGGTGCCGTTGACTTTGAAATATTCTCCAGATGTTGATAACAACCAAAGAAATCCATATACATGCAAAGAAAACAATATTAATTAGTTTATAAATGAAATGACGCACGTAAAAAGTATTGAACACATGAAGAAAGGGAGGTGTAGTTTGGCAGTGAACGCCCAGACAGCAGCTGAAATCTCTCAGTAGTTCTTCAGCAACCCTCTGCCCTTCCTCAGTGTAAATGAATACCAGCTGCCTCAGTCCGACATCCACATTGGATGAAGATGAAGCCAGGGTGGACATTTCAGCAAGACATTGATCTAAAACAGGGGTTCTCAAACTTTTCAACCTGCGACCCCTAAAACGACAATACCAGTGACTCACGACCCCCTCTATGCTCGGAGGTGGCTGTAAGCAAACAAATATTGTAAACAATGGTGCACACACACCAATAGGAACTATACAAACAAGCTTATTGACGACACAAAAGAAGGGCAACAGTCTATCCTTTATAATCATTATTCATTTGTTTAATCTAATACTAATCTCACTTAACGAGAATGGCGAGCACAATGTTTATAGCAAAAGGTTTAATTTTGGAGACTTGGAGCCACTTGGAGATCGTCCTCCTTGTTCAGTCGGGGCCTTTATTTTTAGTGAGTGCCATTAAGGTGTCAAAGCTTAACATTATACCGTAAAATCCATCTGCTGCAACTATTGCTGTGATGTTAATCTAGCCTAATAACCCCAGAGGCTGCAATCCAATGGAAAAAAAATTATTTGAAAGGCTGATGACTTTTTATGTGCATGTTTTTTAAATCTATTATTTAAATATATTTATAAAAATATATTTTATATATATATATAATAAAGGGGACTAAGCCGACAAGAAAATTAATGTATAA